GTGGGTGGGGGTTTAGACCAGATAGAGTAGGCTGTACAAAGTACGTAGTACTCTGAATATATTATTTACTAGTACACCCAAGGAACAAGTGCTACGTAGTGAATGCTACATAATTTAACTGTTTTGGAATTCTTGGTGCGAGCAGGTACCTGGGTAGCTCCGCCATGCACGTTCCGCGGAGCAAATTACCGACTCGACGGGAGAGGCAAGGAAGAGAATTCTCGAAGTCGAAGACAAGAATAGTTGCTTTCGACGGGGAAGGGGGGGGAATTACCGTGGTGGGGACGCTGATCCGGAGAACTCAGAGACTCAAGAAGTATATCTGGAATGTAAGGCGTTTACCCCCTAACATTCTTTATGAATAGATTATATTTTTTGCTATTATGGTTATCTTATTTGATAGGATGTGGGGGAAAAAGAACTAATAATAAAATAATAACAATAAGCATTGAGTGTAGTACAGCATGGCTGATTGGCTAGCCAAGTGGCTAGCAGAATGCAGGATGAGTAAGCGAGTACCTACGTAGATCAGACAAAGATATCATTCTATTCGCTCAATTGCATATTATGACCCCAGTAGTAAGCGGGCACCCAAAAGAGAAATAAAGAATACACACGGAGTTTTAAGGGAAAAGGAAAAGAAAAGAGAACTCACAGAACAGAGCAAGAGCTGAGGTTGAATCCTCATAAGCTAGACGCCTACGAGAGCAGTGATTGGAGGATCTTCAACTCAGCTTCTGCAGGCTGCCAAGCCATCTGGTACGCCTTGAAATTTGAGAAACAGTCTCTAAAATTAAATTGCAGAGCCAATGCTGCATCAATTTACGTACACTGGATTAGTGAACGTGCATATGCTATATACGTGTATTCGTATATTCATTTTGTAGCCATATGACATGGGAGGATACAACAATAGCACCCAAGTTATATTATATTAATATTAATTCATCTTATGATTTGGCAGATTGAGCTCAGCTTAGACTGCGGCAATTTATTCCATCTGCACCAATAGATTCGAGTGCGTCTGATTGCGTATACACTAACGAGGGAGATCATAAAGTCAAAAACAGTCACCTAGTTCTACCTTGTTATGAACTTTACATTCTACATTAACCTTGTAGACGGTGACATAGTTACATATCCCAACAACCTTTTGACTCTTCCGCTGTTTCAGCATTCGCGGGTGGGCTCAGCGCCGCGCAGTGATTGACTGCAGGTAAGATTCTAGGCTGTGAAGGTGGCTGGCGGCGCTAAGCCGGAAGCAGAATGATTCGATGCATTGCATCAGTTAGTATGAGGATAGCTGATATTTAAAAATGATAAGGCCTTGCTACCTCCGTACTAACTGCTTTGGATCGATTTATTATTTCTTGGCCATCCACTCCATTGAGGTTGAAGATTTGTGGAGTCAGGTATCTGGGACTAATGGAGCCGTTAGACCATCTATTTACTCCGGAGTCGGATACATAAACCGCAAGGTCCTTTTGTTGGACCTTTTCTCTTTTGTATTTGTATAGTAAGTCCATGAGGAATGGCATCGTATGATCTCCGTGTCGAGAGAATCCAAGCACTAGACATCTACACCAGCAAGGATAGTCGCTGTTGATGTCAACACAAACAAAGAACAAGGGCAAGGATCGAAATCCTCCATGCACTTTATACCCTATTTCGGGACTAGTATGGAAGTCGAGGTGGAACATGCGCAGAAGCTTGATCTACTCGTCAGGCTAGGAGAGTCTGGAGGCCGCACTAAAGCTGCCATGGTTCAGACTTACGTGATGCTGCAACGCTGATTGGACCGCTTACATTTGATAGCAGGGGTAATAATCCTTCTTCCCACCCGAGACTTGGAATGCGACACCAGAAACGTCTTGGCTAATGGACGTGCTCGGAGTCTGAAGAAATTTGTCACGTTATACGGCATATAGTTACTACATACTATACTCAATATCTTCTGTACGAGATCATGAATGTAGCAGGTTGGTTGTTCGCGTGTGGCAAGTTGCTTTGCACCTAGGAAGTGTTTCATATCGTGGCATGCCGTTCCAATCGTGGTGTAGATCCCAATCGCTACTACGTATCAATTATTTCGTACGAAATACGTACAATATACTACATGGTACTCCGTACTCCGTACTATATCATCTATGCCTATCGAAATCTTAGAAAATGAGCACTGGGTTAAATGAGAGGCACAGAAAGAAGACATCTTTCTGGTCCTTCTTCCGACAGCGAAGGTATCAGATCCTAGGAAGGTCCATTATAGATCAATTCTCCATTGATTTCGGATATAGACACAGAAAACGTGCCTTCGCGAGTCATGGTAAGCATCCACTGACATCATATTGGGACTAGGCGAGGGAATAGCCGTTGATCGTATTCTGACCTGCAGATTTTGTCGCCATCAGGCGAATACGTTTGGCTGTTTTTACTTGATGCCATGCCGGGATTACTAAGAGATAGTAAGGATATATAATTCCCGATGCTGCCAAGTACTGTATCCAGGTCATCGGTTTAAAGCCAAATACTACATTCTACGCTCTATCATGTTTGAGGTTGCTTTCAAGCCTTAAGGCTCAAGAATGCACTTGCTGGATTCGACACTGCTATCAAGAAAAGAGAGAGTACTTGTGTCCACGTTGCAATCAGCGTTGCATCAAAGAGTCGCCAGTCAATAGTTGGGAAGTTTACTAATTTAGCAAATGGCATGCCAAGACAAATTATCCAATATAGTCAAGCGGATGTTAAGCGGCCAAACTGGCCAATCACATCTGGTTCTTTAGATTGAACTCCAGGCACGGAAGCCGTGATTGGCCAGCTCGTAGTTAAGCGTTGGGGATCCGCAACTACTATCCACCGGAACGATCTCAAGTCTCGACAGAGTGTATTTCGCACGGATCCCGCGGTACGCATGGCATTATTATTTCTCTACCTTACTAGTAGCCACTAGATACGCTCGAGGATAAAGTGCTGCCACGGACCTTTCGGCGTGAAGCGCCTTCTCTGGTCATCTTTGCTACTTGGTGAACACGATATGCAATTGATTGGTATTCGGTTAGCGAATGGCGTCCTCCATGACTCGCAACATTGATCGGCTCTAAAGCTCACAAGGTTGCTATGGGAAATCGCCAAACCTAATAGGATAGTACACTATTAGGCTGTCAATCGTTAAACCTAAATCGAACAGAGATAACGTAATGTCGACATCTGACGACTGGCTTCTACTGAGCTTGGATCTCGCCACCTTACACAGTGCATACTACTTGCGTGCGGCCAATTTTATGCTAATTCGAATCCATTGCACAGTAGTGAGTGATGACGATAACAGCATGATCATCCCAGTCAGCACCGTATATCCTCGCTTTCTCGCAGATCGCCGGCATACAGAATCTGGAGAGCAGGCTCGTTATCAATTTATGCTCGCCACGAACTCCGTAGTACGGAGTAGTAATTACTGATAAATTACCATGCTATTCCAAAAATCGCGAATGCTACGCAATACGTAGGCGGAACTTACTTGACTAGTGAAAACGTATCTTTCCACAGACAAATGCAGTTACGAGCAGACAAATGATGCACCATTTACCATGAGCGCCAACTGGAACACCAGGACGACTTTTTGTATCGGGGACTTGCTTTCCTACGGACTTCGCACGGAGTAATCACACTTAGATCGTGCTGTTTCTTTTTCTGCCGCTGAACTAGCAGGAGAGGGACGGATGAGCAATCGATAAGGAAAAAAAATACCCCGTCATTACTCATTACGCCATTCCCGCATGTGGCTTGCAGGGGTTCGCTGGCCTTATATAGTCTGTCTTCTGAT